CTGTGTGAAGTTAATGGTGACCAGTTAACCAGTGAATACTGGGTGCAGTGGTGGGTACGATAATCACAGCCAGTTATGAATCTTAGTGCACCATGATAGACAGCATCCAACATCTGCAGCATCCAACATCTGCAGCATCCAACATCTGCAGCATCCAACATCTGCAGGGTTCTTGTAGGAGCGTTCATGTAAATAATGTCACCGTGATCAACGGAGGGAAGGAAAGTCACAGATACAAGGTGTTCCTCAGGGTTCAGAGTTAGACAGGATCTGTTTCTGAAAAAGAAACCCAGTTTAACTTTCAGTTTCTTTACAAAGTTTCCATGTGGAGCTTAAAAGAGAGATGTGAGTCGACCAAGATACTCAAGTATTTGTAGGAATCAACAAACTCTATAGGGACACCATTCGAAGAGAAGATAGAAAGAAGAGCTGCTGGAAATCACTTCCTGATTGAAAACAACATCCCTTTGGTTTTGTGTGTGTTTAGCACCTGTTAGTTACACCTGTTAGTTACACCTGTTAGTTACACCTGTTAGTTACACCTGTTATTTACACCTGTTTGTTAGTTACACCTGTTAGTTACACCTGTTTGTTAGTTACGCCTGTTTGTTAATTACACCTGTTAGTTACACCTGTTTGTTAGTTACACCTGTTTGTTAGTTACACCTGTTTGTTAGTTACACCTGTTTGTTTGTTACACCTGTTTGTTTGTTACACCTGTTAGTTACACCTGTTTGTTAGTTACACCTGTTTGTTAGTTACACCTGTTTGTTAGTTACACCTGTTAGTTAGTTACACCTGTTAGTTAGTTACACCTGTTTGTTAGTTACACCTGTTTGTTAGTTACACCTGTTTGTTAGTTACACATGTTAGTCACACCTGTATGATCATATGTTCAGGTTTTGACTAGAAAAGCTATAACTCCTGAATACAGCACCTCAGACTGAGGAAGTCTTTCGGATGAAAGACGAAACGTATCTACATTTTTTTGCTTTGTTTTGGGTTTTTTTAAATGTCCAGAGGACCGGATTGAACTTTTTTAGACTTTAACTCCATTTTTCTCCTTGATTCCTTTGTGTCTCTCATCTATCCATTCATCTGGGTTGAGCTGGACAACCTGGACAATAAGTGAGGTACCGACCTCCATCTTGGTGTGTGGCTGCATGTACGCATAAAAAAAGTTTCTATGGAAAATTTAGTTTCTGCGTCAAAATCCAAGATGGCCTCCACCATAGTAGGCCTGTAGGCCTGCATGGAAACTGGCCACCCATTTGAGGAAACTAAGCTTTCTAGTTTTTATATTACTTAAAAAATTGTTTCCTTAAATATTGGGGATGGTTGAAGATGGGGGGGGGGGGGGGGGGGGGTCATCGTATAAATAAATAAAAAAATGTTTGGCTGATATTTACAGATATCGTGTTTCTCAAATGTGTGTAACTGAGATTTACTGTTTCTTCAAAACATTCAAGAAGGTTGTGGTTGATGCTCAAATCAAGTGTGGAGCTGCACTGCCTCCTGGTGGACACGGGGGGGGGGGGGGGGGGTGCAGTCTGACTCAGTGTTTCATCATGAAACATTTTCCACAGACAGAAAGGTGACACTTTTATATTTTGACAGCAGATTTAATTGATTTACACAGTCCTGAATTCAGATTGCAGTCTACAAACCAGATATTATTACCCCCCCCCCCCCCCACGCACACACACACACACACACACACACACACACTCCAATAAAAACAAATGTAGTTTCCAGAAGGATGGAGGTTCAGTAAGGACACAAAAGAGCTGCAGAGGAGCTTTGTTCACACATACCTCTCACACCACTGCTCATTTTGTATGTGTGGGGGCTGGGGTCATCGAGATGTTCTTTTTTTTTTTTTTTTACAAAATTAAAATAAGATGAGAAAAGTAGAAAAAAAGACGTCTTGTAAAAATGTGCTTTGATTCGATGAGTCTTCTCATCACGAGCACCTCTCAAAACCTGAAGCAAACATGTAACGTCTGCAAAGACCCGGTTTAAAGGTGCAATAAATTGTTGCTGTTTAAAACCGTGTCAGAACGATTAGACCTGAAACAAATCACCTCTGGAAGGTGTTTCTGCACAAACTACAGCTTCGGCCGAAACAACCAGCGATGTAATAAAACTACAGTATTAAGACAGGCTGTAAAGAGGAATCCTTAAGAATGATGATTCCTGCTGCTGATTATCTCGTGCAGCTTTGAGATCAGGCACATGCACGGTGCCTCTGTCAATTACAGGTGTCAGCTCAGATTAGCAATTCCATCTATCCAGGAAATCAGGAGCATCACGTCCACACCTCAGGTGTCACTGGCAACACTAGAAGATGTGCTAATCAGCTCAGAAGACGAGGATAAAACGAGGTCTTGTCAAATTCATTCAGAACGCTGCTGCTGATCACGCCACTGAAACACAAGAAATGTCATCACGAGATGTGACGAGGCCTGAAAGGTTTGATACGAATGTCACCGACCTGCTGGGAAATAAAACATCTGAGCCCTGAAGACTTGAACCAGAAATTATTTAAATGTCTGAACAGAACCGTCTGAAATGTTAGCATAGACTTGTCTAACAGAATGTACGGCACAAACCTGGCAACCCAAGTCCCAACTCAGATGTTGCTGAAGTCTGAACGAAATAAAAGTCAGTCATATTTTGGAACAGGCCCCGACCCCGGTGCCGTCTGGGTCCAGTCATGGCTCTAAACTCTGCAGGCTGAAGTCTCCTTCAATACATCCAGCGCTGGTTTGTCGAACTTGGTGCCATCATCATCATCACTCGGGGTTACAGCCTGGTGGAGCAGCTGGACCACGTGGGGAGGGTCCTGGTGGAGCAGCTGGACCACGTGGCGAGGGTCCTGGTGGAGCAGCTGGACCACGTGGCGAGGGTCCTGGTGGAACAGCTGGACCACGTGGCGAGGGTCCTGGTGGAGCAGCTGGACCACGTGGCGAGGGTCCTGGTGGAGCAGCTGGACCACGTGGCGAGGGTCCTGGTGGAGCAGCTGGACCACGTGGCGAGGGTCCTGGTGGTACAGCTGGACCACGTGGTGAGGGTCTGCAGAGGACAGTCCGGACAGCAGCATGCAGTGGTCCGAGTATAAAACAGCTTTTAACAAACACTCCTTGGTGTTCAAATCTCAGGAAACACCTCTGAAGCCTTCTTCAAGAACATGAACGTGTTTCTACAAGAAGCATGAGCTGCTGGTCACAGAAACATTTCATGTCCAGAAGTCTTTGCTCGTCTCTGCTGAGATTCAAAATGGTTTTCAACTTGTCCCTGCAGTAATCCATGAAACCAACATGTTAAAAACCGATCCAGAATGGAACATCATACATGACATCATCGAGCTGCTTATGGAGAAGTTTTAAAGAGGCAGAAAACAGAACCTCGTTCTGAGAATAACTGACTGAAGTCGGGCTGAGGGACTGGAATCCTTTGAACAAACTGAAACACTGAAAGTTGGCGGGACAAGAACATTCATTAAAGTGATTCTAACTGCACGGGACCAGAGTTGTCTCAAATCTGCCGTCCCTGCAAGATAAACTTTATGTTCAAACACCAGTTTCAAAGTGTGAAGCAGCTGGAATGAGGATCAGCACCTCCACATCTGAGGTCATAGTCCTGTCACCTTCAGGTCTGAGGTCATGGTCCTGTCACCTTCAGGTCTGAGGTCATGGTCCTGTCACCTTCAGGTCTGAGGTCATGGTCCTGTCACCTTCAGGTCTGAGGTCATGGTCCGGTCACCTTCAGGTCTGAGGTCATGGTCCTGTCAGAAAAGTGTGGATTGTTCTCTTCAGGTCAAGGTTCTGCCTCCAGTGGAGGAGTTCAAGTATCTCAGGGTTTTGTTCACAGTGAGGGAAGAATGGAGCGTGAGATTGACAGACAGATTGGTGCAGCATCTGCAGTATTGTGGACTCTGTGCCGGTCCATTGTGGTGAAGAGGGAGCTGAGCTGTAAGACAAAGCTCTCTGTTTACTGGTCGGTCTACGTTCCTCCCCTCACCTCTGGTCATGAACTCTGGTAGAGACTGAAAGAATGAGATCGTGGATCCAGGAGGTTGAAATGAGTTTCCTCTGCAGAGCTGGACTCTCCCTTAGAGACAGGGGGAGAAGTTCAGTTATCAGGAGAGACTCGGAGTAGAACCACTGCTCCGCCACATCCAGAGGAGACAGTTGAGGTGGTTCATCTGGTAAGGATGCTCCCTGGGCATCCTTCAGGCATGCCCAATAGGAGATCCCGAGGAAGACCCAGGATACGCTGGAGACACTACGTCTCTCAGCTGACCTGGGAACACCTTGGAGTCCTCCCAGAAGAGCTGGAGGCTGTGGAGAGAGATGTCTGGACCTCCCTGCTCAAGATGCTGCCACATGACGCAACTTCTGAACAAGATGATGGATGGATGGTTTCAAAGTTTAAAAAGGTCCAATTCTTGTACAAAATACAAAACATTAAATATATTAAATCAATTTTTAAATTTCAACCAACTTCCAGAAACAAACAGATCTGCTCAGCACTTTATTCCAAACCAAATAAAAACACTTTGAACATAAATAAATCTTTGTACAACTCTTTACACGTCAGGATGACGGTGGCGGCAGGTTTAACACAAGGCACTTCACTCGCTGCAGGTCCCTTTACACCTCCTCTAACAAAACCGTACCTGAAATAGTGTCGTCTCACACGTCACTAAACCAAACCCACTAAAGTGCACTTTACTCTGACATGAATCCAACATGGCTCCAGCACTGGGGGAGGGGGGGACTGTCCACAAGAAAAGCAACTCTTGTGAGATCCTTCAGCAGATTAACATTCAAAAACTTCTTCTATGGATCTGAACTGAAGTCACATGAAAACGTAGATTTAAATATTTTAATTGCTGCACATTAAAGCTCATAATTAGCCAAAATAATATCAACTAAAATTTGAACTAAGTTCTGCGGCTTCATGGAACTCCTCACAACAGAATGATTGATGTTTTATTAAACAAAATATTTTGGAGTTTTGTGCATTTAAACATGTTTATTCCTATAGTTCAACTTAGAAAGTGACTTGTTTTGACCATCACCCTTAATATTAAAGTAAATCACACATAAATCTTCTGTCAAAATAATGGATTTAACCATTTCAACTCAATGCTACATTTTATCGTTTATATAATTACAAGAAACAAAAGTTTTGGTAAAGTGTCAAACAAAAGACAGACTCGAACATTTGTGCGTGCGTGTCTTGACGGTGCAGCGGCAGGAGAATACGGCCGTCAGGCGACAAACTTGTTCTTGGTGGTGGAGCTGCTCTTTGTAGCCGTGTCTGCGTGGGACTGGTAACCGATGATCACATCAGGCGGGACGCCCAACCGCTCTTTGTACACTCGCCTAGAAAACACACGACACACTCTAAGTCTTTGTATTTGACAGCTACAGTGAGGACAAGGTGCAGACTGTCCGTCTCGGAGGTTAGACACGAGTCTCGTGTGGATCTTTTGGATGAGAGGGGAACCGTCTTCAACAACTGCCCAGGTGCCTTCCATTTAACCACCAGGACAAAAAGAGTTTTACATTAATGCAGGAGTGAAAATCATTGGAGGGTCAAATATAAAAGCACTTTGATCAGATTTATGGAAACGATGCCTGAAGAGGTCCAAGTGTAAAACTCAGCAGCAGTTTCTGCTCCAGGTAACAGGAGAGGCGTTCAGTAGAAAAGGTCCAAACCCTGTCACAAGTTCTAACTCGTTTTAAAGAGCTTCTCTGCAGCTCACCCGATGTGTGTGACGGCCTCTTTGTGCTCGAAGTCTGTGGTCCAGATGGCTATTTTATCTCCTTTAGCTCGAATGTTAATGACGGCTCCGCAGACATCGTCGCTGTGGTCATCAAACGCCTCACCCACCAGACACAAGAGCTGCGGGGGGGGGGGGCACAGAAACCTTGTTACTGACGACAGTGTTCTCATCAAACGTCATTTGTACATGACGCCACGTTCAAAACATCAATGAGTCATTCTGAGAAGCAGTAGACACATGGTCCTGTAAGGAACCAAGCTCACCGTCTCCAACCAGAACCGGTCCAGGTCTGATTTGCGTTGCTGCTTGGAGAGCGTTATCAGCCAGCGGCCCCCCCGCAGATTCCTTTCATCCTCCCACATGGGTTCCACCCTATCCTTTAGTCAAATATAGTTTTAATAAAAAACAAACAAAACAAACTAATTATGCAGACGTGCAATTTTTTTTTACCGTTTAATAAGATTATTAAAATTAAAATTATTTAAGTATAGAAATTTAGTAATTTCTAATCTTAAATTAAATTCTAAACTGGTATTTCCTCCTGAGCTTAGTGAAACCATCAGAGAAGTGACAGTTCAAAGCTAAGATTTGTTCAACTCACATGTGCAGTTTCACTAGAACATAGAACATAGAACATGGAACATAGAACATAGAACACAGCTCGACAGCACTGAGGTGGATAAACAGAATGAACAAGCTCTTACCTTAAACAGAGAGTAGTCACAGCCAGACATCAGGTTACTTGATAGTTGAATGTGATTATAAAGTCTGCAGGAAGTGCACAGCAAGTACATAATTTAAAATATAAATGTCTGCATAACACAAGAGGCCAAAAAATGCATTTTGATTTTAAAGTGAACATCTGAAGTGAAGTCTTTTAGGTTTTTGCTCCAACACACGTCTGTAAAAGGTTCGGTGCTGCGCGTTACCGCAACACGGAGCAATATTTCACTTACGCCCAGAAATCTTCAACCGTGTCAACTTTTGCGATGAGACGAAGGTTTGCTTGCCATGTTTTGCTTTTGTCATTTTTGAAAAACCAAAGAGCCCACCTGTAAAAAACCAAAAGTCTGCTGTAAGACGCTGCAACGTGCACGTCTGATGACGCTGGCAGGACGTACAGCTTGCAGTGTGCGTTCATAAACATCAATCAAATCTAGAGAAACTATGTAAGAAAACTCAGATTTCAGCATCAGACTCAACTGCTGTGATGAAGCTCTTTCAGAGGTTTTAGGGAAATATACTGTGAACGTTCAACTTGCTGAGGAAGAGGAGTAGAAGACGGCGGCAGCAGCTTACTTGTTCTGTAACGGATGTTTGATGTAAGCTTCAGGACTCACAACCTTTTGAATTGTTGTTTCACAGTTTTCCTTTTCAGGATGTGGAGGAACTGCAGCCTGAAAATATATTTTTAATAAATACAAACAAAAACATTTTCCATGTGACAACTGCTGCCAACTCAGCACATATTTATAGCTACCCAACAAGGCAATTAACTAGTTTAACTTTAAAAGAGGGATGAAGAGAGGAGGAGAGCAGTAGAGACAGCTCGGTGTTAAAATACAAGTGGTTTTTCTACGCCGGTAACTTTACGGTTTCAACCAAACGTATCTTTTATCTGCATGTTCCTCAACAAAGCAGAGCATGAAACACCAAGACCGTCGAGCTTCACGCTGTCTCAGCTCTTTAATGGACACTGTCAAGGTTCAGCCATTTTCAGGCACAACAGCTGGTTTTGTAGGTACAAAAACAAACATGATAGTTGGCAGTTTATCTTTTCTTACATAAACTTAATTTTAAAATATGCATTAACCAGCACAGGGATGAAATATGCTCTTTTTTTGTTTGTTTGTCCCTTTTTAAATTGTTTTTGTGGCATTGCAACGAGTACTTTAATTTTGTGTGTCAGGTTTCGCAGCATTTCATGAAAACAAAAACAAAATTCCCTGATTTGTCCCGAGCAAATCTTGAAAAAGCAGCAGACACTTGGGTCACATGAAACGCTCAGGGGTTAGTGTCTCAGGTGGCGGGCAGAGTCACATCCAGAGAGGACAGGAAGTATATGAACGGTAGATCATTCTAATAATGGGTAGGTAATATTGAAAGATTATTTCTGTTCCTTCGCAGGCGCTGAGATCATCTGATCAACTGCTTTGGTTGTACCAAAAACCAGGATGAAGCTCAGAGACCGGGCTTTTTCAGTCATGGGCCCTAAACTCTGGAACAATCCGCCCCCAGCATTAGACATTAGTGGTTTTTCTTTTACATTTTATTATGGGATGTAACTGGGACCCTGTGTACATAATCTCGTTCCACCACATGTACCACATGAGGTGTGTATGACAAACAAATCTCTCAGACTCTGGGACAGGCCACTTCACTTCCTGTTTTTAAATCTCATCTAAAAACAAATATTTTCTCTGGGTTTTAACACAACGTGATTTGATTAAGTATTTTATTGTTGTGTGTTTTTATGGTTTTTTTTAATGCTTTTACTTAATTTTTGGTATTTTTTTTTTATTAAATTACTGCAATAATTTTTATTGTTAAGCACTTTGGTATCAGCTGCTGTTTTTAAATAATAATAATAATAATAATAATAATAATAATAATAATAATAATAATAGACAGGATCAATAAAGTTCCATCTTATCTTAATAGATGTGCTATATAAATACATTTGACTTTACTATATAATGAAACCTACAGTATGGTCATTCCTAGTTTATTATATTGTGCAACATCTGAAACTAAAAAGGCACCACAGTCTATCAGGAAGGACGTGTACCGTCTGTAGGAGCAGAACATGGACTCAGTGATACCAGATACCAGCATTACTTACTTACTTACTTAGATAGATCCAAAAAAGTTCAATCTGGTCCTCTGGACATTCAAAAAAAAAAAAGCAAAACAAAGCAAAAAAAAAATTCTAGAAATGTTTCGTCTCTCATCCTGAGGACTTCCTCAGTCTGAGGAGCTGTTTTCAGCTCAGTCTCTTAAATAGCACCTTCTCAGAGTGGATCAACCAGTTTGCTGCTGACAACCAGAACCAGCTGATCACATGCTCAAGAAGGACCATCAGCCTAACAATGGATCATTAGCACCTGATGGCTGTTTACTGTTCACAGAGGGCTGAATGGGCAGCACGGTGGCGCAACTGGTAGAGCTGCTGCCTCTCAGCGAACAGGTCCCTGGTTCAAACCCCAGTCCAGGGGCCTTCTGGGTGGAGTTTGCATGTTCTCTCCGTGCATGCATGGGTTTTCTCTGGGTACTCCAGTTTCCTCCCACAGACCAAAAACATGCATGTTAGACTGATTGGTAACTCTAAATTGTCCCTAGGTGTGAGTGAGAGAGTGAATGGTTGTTTGTCTCGTTTGTCTCTATGTGGCCCTGTGATGGACTTGCGACCCGTCCAGGGTGTACCCCGCCCCTCGCACAGTGATTGCTGGACATGGGCACCAGCGACCCCCGTGACCCAAAATGGAACAAACGGGTAAAGAAAATGGATGGATGGATGGATGGAGAGGGCTGAGTGATACTAGCAATCACAGCATTGTAAGAGGGAGGTTTCCCCCTCTTACAATGCTGTGATTGCTCTATTCTTCCACAAAGTTGATCCATGAGGTGAGAAATTATGGTGAAATATCATTTTCCAGAACTGAAGAACTTGCTTGTGGAAGTTTGATAATTTAACTGGAATCTTCGTCACTTCAAAGTCACACTTTGCAAGGAAGTCAATTCCTCCCAGCTGCTTAAAAATGGAGGCAGGGGGTCCGGGAATGTTTGTTTACAACAGAAACGCTCAGACTTCCGTAAACAACACACTAGTCGGCCTCAAGCTCCGCCCCTTACGCTTTTCAACGAACAAACCCGATCAGAGCCGAACCTTCTCTATCGTTCGCCGGCGCACCGGTGACGTGTGCGCTGTGCGCGTGTCTTCTCCGTTTGGACTCAGCACGGTTCTGTTCGGAAAACGGTCTGTAACGGTCCAAACGGACTCCGACTGGCTTCTGAGCGACTGAGGAAAACCTGCGAGTGTTTAGATAAAACGCCGCGTTTTATTTAAAACACGCCAAGTTGAAATGAACGAAAATGATCATTTACACAAGTTTAAATTGTTTCTGAGCTTCCAGGTGATAACTGTCAATAAATCATCCTGAATCTCGCTGAATAAACGCGTTGCTGTTCAGAGAACGAGCCCACCTCGAGTGATTCAGCTGCCTGTGTGTGAAACTCACCACAGCAGTCGCCATCTTCCGGAAGTCTCGTCCAGGTTTTTGGCGCCAGTTGAAATAGCTGATTGGATCGTCTCAATCACAACAGTGCGCATGCGCGAACAAAAATTAAAGTAATTAGATTTTAGTTTTCAGCTTTGATGGAAACAAAATTAAGCATTTCTACTCACATTATGAAGGTGATACAAATACACTGTAAATCCTGTCACCTGTCCTGTGTGGGGAACTTAATTCAGCTCCTTCATTGATAAAATCTCTTTAGCACCTGGAGTTTTTCATCAACCTTTATTTATCCAGGTTAGTCGGAGTCACAAGGACTCGTTTTCAGAGACCTGTTTTAGTTTTGTTTCTTTACTAAAAGCACAGAGTTGAATCTTGCATGTGCACGAGGCAGGTGATACATTTCAAAACGATAACTTTAGTCATTTTAGCTTGATCTCAGCAAAGAATAAGGATTTAAAGAGTTTTACTCAGTGTCTCAGACTTGAACTGCATTAAAAATGCGAGGAATCAGTTTCTGGCAGATCTTGTTAGAAACGCAGTGACACAAATGAAATGTGCCAAAATGAGCAGAATTGAAATCTCCAGCCTAAATTCATAAGCAGGAAATTTGGACCAAATGATCGCACTGCACACAGAAGGCTCAGTCTGTCGGCCTTTAAAGCTGCAGACCCGGCTCGTACCCAGCGGACCCTCATGCAGATGATAAGTGTGGCTGTAATACTGTGGACTTACTGTTTGTGTACATAGTTTAATTTAAAGGATGAGTTCAAAAAGCTAAGACAACAAAAAAATTAAAACAACACAGGAACAGCAGATGTTTTTTTATTAGTTCATTTAAACTGTTGGTGTCAACATTTGTTCTAAACACTGAAAATTGATCTATCAAAATCAGAGCTGGGTGTACGGAGGGAAACGGCTGAGGCCCGATGCGACGGATGTTTTAGGCACTTCAGAACGTGAGCACGGCGCGGATGCTGCAACGACACAAAGCAAGTGTCAGACTGAGAAAACACTGTAACAAGAGGCAACAGAAGAAGAAACCTGAACATCCTAATGTGGTCTGAATGTAAAAACATTTGCCACCTCTTCCCAGCGTGCATGAGGTCAAACGCCTCGTTGATCTTCTCAAAGGGGAGCGTGTGGCTCACAAACTCATCCACCTTCAGCTTCTTCTTCATGTAGTCTTCCACCAGTTTAGGAACGCTCTCCACACTCTTCCAGCCTGCAGGAGACAATCATTTACAACATTTTAGAAGTTTAATTTGAACATCACTGCATGTTGGAACAACATCATTTCACCAAAAGACCTCGTGCTTCTTCTGTCAGCTTTTCCCTTTGCAGGGGGTCGCCACAGCGCAAGGGCATCAGAAGCATCTGTAATGTGGGGGGGACATGTCCCGTTCACAAATAATGGTTGTGATGCCTATGCCACAGCGACTCATCCTCCTCCCACTTTGATGAACTCACTTTACAGTTCTGGCCAAAGTGTTTGACGTCGGATGACTTCCTGTTTGATGTCGGAGGACTTCCTGTTTGACGTCGGATGACTTCCTGTTTAACGTCGGATGACTTCCTGTTTGACGTCGGATGACTTCCTGTTTGACG